CCGACCACTGCGGTGCTTCCCCACGTGCTTACCTTGACACCGAATCCGCAGCTGGCTTAAGACGAACTTCTGCTGTTGTAAGTTCTGTTTTATTTGGTTATGAGCTTTGGAGTGAAGCCTTCTGCTGTGATGTTATTGTGCTGTGTAAACACCAAGCCTGCCCATCTGTACCAGTGCTTTTATCTGTGTGTGCTCTCGGGTGCCCCCAGCTCCCTGGTGTTAAACAAGGTTCTAGATTCCAGCTTGCTGAGGGCTGAGGGCAGGATTTGCACGCGTGCGTCCTGCGTTGCGGCCCTCCCACCTTACCAACCACACACACAGTGATGTGTTACGGAGGATGTCAAAGCGGGAGCCATAAACTGTTCTGTTTGTAACTGTAATTTTGGTTTTTTCTTTGGAGTGTAGGAGAAAAGTGGAAAGGAAACCATCACCACTAAGCCCAGCCCAAAGGATAAAGGAAGACCCAAAGACCCTAAAACGGTAGAAACCTACGTGTTGCAATGCGCAGTCACGGTTACCGAACGCTATAAGCGTGAAACACGGGCAGCTGGATTTCGGATTCATATTACATGGATATTACTTTGGGGAGAATTTTATATCAGTAGGTTGACCGTGATCCATTTTTTGTAAGCATGTACGTGGGAGAAAAGAACCCATTTCAGGGGAAATTTTTAATAAGCAGGGACTGAAGTACATTTCTTTCAGAGAAGGTGTGGTCTTCCACAGGGGGCTCAGTGCGTGCTCCACAGGCTCCTCATTCCCATGTTTTCTGATCTAAAAGCTGCCCTTCACGTGCCTGTGGCTGCCTCGGGATCCCCATCGCTCCTCTCTTTGCTTGACATTGTTTTAAATGACGGCATTCTAAAAGTCATCACAATGTGCTCCTTCAACCACACGTCCTTTTCTCAAGTTACTACCATAATTTTTTTTTAAAAAGTGAAAACCTACATATATTCATAAATAACCATGCAGAATTAATCTAGTGGAAAGAGGAAGGCAGTTGTTTCTATGTATAAAAAAAAAAAAAAGAGGTTTCTTGGCTTTTGTCACCCAGAAATAGAAAAGGTTTATGTAGGCAAGGGTGACACTTTGCCCATCGCGTTGTTCTGACAGGGTACGGGCAGGTTGGTGGCTGAACCACGTGGCAGCGTCTGCTCCGGAAATTTTCTGTTCCGAGTGATGGGATTTTTCTCTGTTATGAGATTGCTGTGTGTGCCTTTTGCCTAAGCACAGAACAGCCTCGCAGTTCCCCGTGCAGAGCTGGGGAGGGGTCTCGCAGCTCCTCTTCAGGAGGACGTCGTCTTCAGTGGTCCGAGCCGTGGCTGGCTCAGCAGCACGGGTGACAGGGCGTGGAGACGCGGGATATGGGGGGAGGTCAGCCGCGGCCCTCTTCGGCTGAAACAAAGTACGTGGTGGTGGAAAAATGGAAGTGTGTGTACAGAACAGAAGTTACAGATGCTGTGGCCAAGCTTCCTCTGTCTGCAGCGCAGGTCGCGTTTATGCCCGAGCCGCGAGTTGCGATGCGTGCGCGTCGCTGCGTTACGCCGGGTTCCAGCTTCGTCCGCAGGTGCTTACCATCTCGTGCCTCTCGCTCTGCAGGCAGAGGGACAGCCCTCCAGCAGCAAACCTGAGAAGCAGAAAGCAAGCTAAACGCTGACGTCACGGGGTGAGATTTCTCCCTCTCCGTTCCCTGAACCACCACAAAGGCCGCGCGTGCCGGTGTTCCTACAGCGGTGTTACCGTCGTGTGGCTGAGCCAAGGCCTGGTTGGAGACGCAGCGCTGGGAATGGCTTCGAACCTCACTGTTCCTAGGCAAAAGCCTCACTCTTTTTCACGCCCTTGGCCCGCGCAGTTTCTACAGAATTCCTCCACGTAGCTAAATCCCTGCACGTTCACCCAACTAGGGGTTCTGAGGCATGACCTGCTGCTCCTAGCAAGACCTCTTTACCGAGCAGTGAAGACCAAGCACGTCTCAAGGGTTGTTTTTGTCTTTAGGATAAGTGAGCTTATGTCGTTCTTTCTGCACAAGGCTAGTTTTGGAACAAAGAAAGCCCCGGAGCTGAGCTGGCAGGAGCAGCAGGTTCTGGTGTTCTGCCCTGGGCTTTCCTGGCACAGACGCAGCCTCCTCCTGCGCACGCCTTCCCCTGCCGCGCGCGC